TGAAGACAAACGGCACACTTCCTGGGACCGCCCTCCAGGACTGTGTGGAAAGCAGCCTATGCCCGGTCTGTGGGATGGATCGTCTTAACCTAAGTGCATGCAGGTCTCAGTGCCCTGTCCAGAATGCACACCATAGGGGCTTCTGCAAAGAACAAGCTCTTGCCCTAATTCATTCTCTCTTTTCCTCTCTCTCTCTCTCTCTCTCTCTCTCTCTCTCTCTCTCTGTCTCTTCTCTCTCTCTCTCTCTCTCCCTCTCCCTCCCTCCCCCCTCTCAAAAACAAAATGAACCTTGGAAATTGGTTTCCAAATCATAACATTTGGAAAAGCAACATTACGTGTCATTTCCTTACCTGTCAGTCACTTGCCTTTTGGCTTTCCTACATTATTTCCATGATGTTTATTCTTGAAGACAAATGACAACCACACACACCTTCCTCTCCCCAGAGGATCCACCTTCCCATTTCCTCAGTACATCCATAAGCTTGGTATGTGTGAAAAGTAATCAGGTCATGCTGACAGGAGCCATAAGGATTTATGACTTGCTCTGAGGACAAGTGCCTGATTCTTGTCCTGGAACAACAAGTCTTGATAACAGTGTCCCTTTGGTCTGGTGGTGAGAAGACTTTGCAGGTGACGTGGAGCTGCTGCAGGAAGAAATGACAGGATATTGCTCTGCAGTGACATTGTGAAATGATCAAGGAAGCTAGACACACACAAAAAATCTTGCCTCAGAATCTTGCCTTCATTCCTTTGTAATTCCCGGATGTATACTTCCCCTGACTCGGTGATGGAACCAACTGGAGATTGTGGTAATAATCTTGTGAAGGCAACGTGACTTTTTAATCTAATCAGGGTGGGGTGGTAAACGTGTCTCAGGGACCCCCCACGTGCACGTCTGACCCAGTGGGCTCTCTTTTATACTGCATTCCAAGGGGCAGGCTAGCCTGTGTCGCTCAGAGTCCCTTTGGTCTGAAGCAACACCATACCTCAACGTAGACTCTGGAGCTTAAAACTCCTTCAGGAGACAGGAAAAAATGCAAGACTTACTTCACCTTGGCCTGTGCACCAACCAGTGTAAGCACAGAGCACAGAACAGAGAAGCTGGCTCCTCGGCCATTATTAAACTTGCTTGTTAACTTGTGGCCCATAAACTGTCCTTACAGTGCATGGTTCCCACACCTGGTAATGAGCAATTCCCATGGGCTTAGGGCTTTGACCTCCTTATATCCTCCCTCCTGAGGGTCATCAGTGGAGATGGTTTCTATCCTCCCTAATTATGGGTTGAGGAGGACAGCTGTAAAATGGTAATGACTGTCATTACTGACCCACACCTACTTCAGAGAAACTGTGAAGTGTCTGGACTGTGGCTAATCTTGTTGGCCATCCTAGCTCTGCAAAGTATTTATAGAATCAGCTGTGATCACAGCACCTACCTGTTGAGATTTGGCTGAAGAAGTGAATAGCTGCCATTTGGTTTGCACCTTTCATTGCTTTCGACTGGGTTCCGTTTTCTTTAAATTGATTCTGGTGGCTGATAATCTAGGCTAATTAAAACAATTAAAATGCCAGACATAAGATCAGCAAGAATTGTGCTCCTCTCCTTGATACTGATTGGGTTGAAGTGGGGTTGCACTGCCACCTTGTGGTTTGAAGTGACATCTGCTTTTAAAGTAAATCTCAGTGGCTTTTCTGATTGAATCGCTAATTCACTAAAATCATAGAATGGATATTTTTAAATAATAGCAGATTGTAGAGCTTTCAGTTCAAAAATAAATAACCAAACTCACTTCCTAAAGGATTCACAGCAGAAGTCCAATAACCCCAAACACTAACCTTTCTCAAGGCCAAAGATAAATTCCTATATGATCCAAAATTACATAGAATTGAGGAATGCAGGAAGTACCACCGCCTCTTATTCACCATTTTTATTAAATTATAAGATGCAACCATGATTTTACATAGGCACAGCCAGTGATGAAGTCTAACCATGGGGAGGACTCAGCCCATCTACACCCCTGGGGGAGGGGTCAGTTCCTCTACATACATGGGGGAGGGTCAGTCTATACACACAGAGGAGAGATCGGTCCATCTACACACAGAAGGACAGAGGAGCTAATCCCACCTACCCATATTGATGGGATGGTGGCAGGGTGCATTTCTGACCCAATTGTAGATGAGCTGTCAAACATTAAGGTATCAGCCAAAGAACAATGGGCAATAGCGTTATGAAAGCAAATCCATAGAGACCGGGAGAGAAGAGTAGCAGATCTCTAACATGGGAATGATCCTCCCTCAGTGGACTGCGGTGAGGACAAAAGGTCATGGGTGTGGATCACACACCTAGTAAAAGGCAGCGCCTGTCATAGCCCCTCCTTCCAGCGCCATTGCCCCCGTCTCCTCCAGTGGGACTGCCACGGCCCCACCAGCCCTAGGAGTGAGTGCTGTGATGTGAAAACTGGAACCGCAGGACCCCTGGCCCTGGGGATTACACTGTCTCACTCCGAACCCTGCACCGGGTGATTGTTCTGTTCATTGTAGGATTTTGTCCAAGATAACTTCTTTAAAAAAGTGTCTCTCTGAGTAGCTGTTCAGAAAATTCTAGTTGAAGGGGAGTAAGTTAGGATTTTCTCTGAACTCCACCCTTGATTCAGTAGCTGGTAAATGGTCCCCGTGCATCCTCTTTCTCCATGTGCTATCCTAATAGACTGGTGCCCCACACATTTCATTCTGTCCTGTCTGCCTCCCCCTGTTGAGAGAGAAGAGAGAGAGAGAGGAGAGAAACAGATGCCAAAATGCAGAGAGGTGCTGCAGATCCAGGCGAGGCTTGCTGGGTGGGTCACGGATGCTGTAATTCACACAGCCAGCAATTTTCTAAGAACTTAGCACTTTCCTAACAGGCACTGATTAATCTGCTTATGGATGAGCGAAGGAACAAACAAACATCTGTGCACAGGTAGATCTTTTGTCTGCTTCCTAAAAATGTTTTATGGTTTGGAACTATACTGTATAGAAAAAGTTATTTCATCTATTTTCATAGGTCTCCTTGATTTAAGTACGTGCTGGAATGCATTTTTATATCCTATTGTGGTGCCAATTTGTAGGCTCAGTTTAGAGTGAATTATTCTTTGCATTGACAAATCGTAAGAGAAATGGTAGTTATTTTCATTCCTTACAACTATCCAGGGCAAACATGCAAAAGCAATTCAACTTTATTACGGTGTGCCTGTAGTATTTACAGTTGTATAACCAAACAGAGGAAGAAATGCTATATGACTCAAGAAGTCCTAACTTAAATGTTTATAGAGCATTAGAAGGAGGTGTTCGTGTTGACTCATAGCCTGAGGAAAACAATTCACTTCATCCAGAATTCTAGGTGCACTGTAGCAAAAAGTTTCTTATTCTTTAGCTTTTTTCTTATTCTTTACCTTGCATAGACAAGTAAATGTGGTCATGTTTCACCTGGAAAATTTGTGGCCCAGCCGGATGGCCTTTGGCAAAATGATTTTCACATTTCTCCTCTCACACATTCTCTGGTTTGTCACAAAGACACCAGAGAGCTGCTTTTGTGCATCCACTCTGAGAAGGCCAATCACAGAGCTGTCCACGAAGCAGAGGAAGATGTAGGCACCGACACTCTTTTCCAGAAAAGCATTATGTTGACTTGTGATCTATTGTTCTAAGACAGAAATGCCCATTTGCTTACTCTTTTCACCACACTAAGTTCCAGACTGTTCCTTTGAAGTTGGAATGTTATAGAACTAACCAAAGTTTTCCTTAAACAAGAGCTATCTGATGACAGGTCATCGTGAATAGTGTGATAAACTATTTTCAAAATATCTGTAATACTTAAAAGACTGAGCAAAGCTATCTGACCATTCTCATAGAAGCACCGAGGCTGGAGCAGGGGGAGAGTAGCCACTGGCAACTAGAAGCTTCCTTGGGAGCACACAGGTTTTGGAATCCATGCAGCCACCCTCATTCCTGCTGACCAAGTCCTGTGACTTCTCTGCTGGGACTCACCTTCCTTGTCTGTGAAACAGGGACTCCTGTGTGGTAGTAACAGTTAAAGGAGGAAAGCATTTAAAGAGTCCCTAGCACATACCAGGTACGAAAATGTACTAAGTGCAACTCGTAATACTCCATTCGTAGCTGTTTGTAAACAGGCCGTATGGGTGCTTACAGAGGCTTTGTGGAAACCAGCCTTGAAAGTAAAGTCGCCTCCTCAGGTATTCAGGTGAGGAGAAAGACTGTGTCGGTAGTCGAATTGACCTTCAACTTTCTAAGAGAAAAATGGGTTTGGGGACTTAAGGGAGAGAAGAGATGGCAGTGGAGGACAGGTGATGAATTGCATGTTTGCAAAAGCTTTATAAAGAATGTGTATACTATTCTGGTTAGAAAAAAATAAATCCAAATGAATATGAATTTACTTACCGTGGACTAATTGGGAACTTTATTTGAAGACACGAAGAATCCATCTCCCAAATATACCAAGATAATGCGACTCCATTGCTTCCAAGACTGTGTGAGGCGTTGATACTTTCCAACTGCATTTTTATGGCAGGAAAACCAAAGCCAGACACAGAAGGGACTTATCCAGAATCAGCCTTTGAATCCCGTTTCCCTGACTTTGCCCTGAGGCCTTGCTCCTGACAGGAAATGAAGTGCTGATGGGATATCTCTTTGGGGGGGGGGACTGCCAATGAAAACAAATAAATATTTGGGATTTCGGATTTCAGCAGGGAGGGATTTGGGACTATTTGAAGTTATGTAATGAGATGTGGAGGGCAGCGACCCAAGCCTAGGTATGAAATTCATTTATGTTCCGTATCTTCCTCACACATAACCCGAAAGTAATTGTACTCCGATCTTGGTGCGCCTTCATGTGGCTGCAGCCCCCGACACCTGGTCACGTAGGTGTCAGGAAGTTGGGGGTGCTCGGCCTGTGCAGGGTTCTGGTGCTGTGCCAGGGAAGTAACTTCCAAACGCGTTGTTCTCCGCAGGCAGGCGCAGCGCCCTGCAGTCCATGTGGCCGCCTCTGAGCGACTGACTCCTCCCACCAGCGGTGCCTCTTCCTGCCCCCGCCATGGGACCGCCAGGCAGCGCTCTGGGCGGCGGACAGGCGCAGATCATCCTGTGGGGAAGTCTGGCAGCTGTCGCCACGTTCTTTCTCATCGCCCTCCTCGTCTTTCTGTGCTCTAGTTGTGACAGGTGAGAGCAGCGCGTGTGGCCTGGAGCCTTGACCTGTGCCGTGTGCCCGCAGTCTTCATACTAAAAAGCCTGTTACACGCGGACCCACAGAGACTCGCGCCTTACGATCAGCAGTGGGTCTCGGGTCTCAGGACACTTTTTTTACTCTAATGAAAATCTATATGGATTTTTCTGGGGAGCAACACAAAGAGCCCCTCATATATTAAATTTCTCAGAAATTCTTGCTGTTTGAAACACATCTTTGTCGAACTATAGGTTTTTTATCTGTAATTTTGAAATCTTTAAGTGTGATACACACTTTTTCACTGTAAATTCCTGGGGATTTTTGCTGTTACATGGCGGGGGGGGCGCTTATTAGTAAAAATGTGTGTGATATTAACCAGGCAGTACACATCTGTAATCCCAGCCCTTAGGAGGCTGAGGTTGGAGGATCACAATTTCAAGACCAGCCTGAACTGTGTAGCAAGCCCATGTCAGAAAAGAAGGGAGGGAGAAAAGAGGAGGCAGTAGGGAGTGAATCGCAGTTTCTGAAGTAATAGGTTCACCTTTCCAGAAAAGAGACACACTGTGTATAGGATAATCATTGGTGTGCGTTTTTGTTTTTGTTTTATAATTATACTTCTGTCTCCTCCGTCTCAAATAAAATGCCAGTCCCTCCACCAGGGATCTTTGCTCAGAGAGAAGTGAAGTTCTTCCTGCCCGGGGGGTAACTCCTCCAGACATTCAAGAATGGTTACTTTTATGCAGCCCCTGGTGTGCTGAGAGCCATTGCCCAACAGCTGAGCCAGCCATCCTGCAGACTCTTCTGACCCTCAAAAGAAATTTGACCCGTGTCACATAAAAAATCTGACATGGCTTCCTACCCTAAAATCTGTCAGGAGAGGGAAAGCCAGTCTCTGACCCTAGATAACCTCCTAATTCCTGCCGCGCTGGGACACAGGTCTTCATCCAAGTACTGGGCCCTGAAGTCCCGCTGCTGCAAGTACTCACTTGCCCACTAGGTGTCACTCTGGCCTCATACGTAAATGGGAAACGTCTCCACTGCCCGTGGCTTTCCTTAGCGCGCCGAGTTTAAAAAAAAAAAACAACTTCTATTTTTACTCAACAGGCTTTTCCATAGACTAGAAGTATATATGACTCATCCTGAAAGCATGCAGCCTTCCTGATATGCCAAAATGTGTATTTTCTTTATTTTCTCTGTTCCATTGCAGTGTGTGACTTTGTACACTTTAAGCAATGAAATAATTGTCTAGATTTATGAGGAAAAGCTGATATAACTCATTCCATTATTCTAGATAGAAACAGCTCCTATGCAGCACCCTCCTCCGTCCTCACGGTGTGGACTTGTATTCTCCTCTCTGCTCAGGGGAGGAACAGGCCCTCACCGTGGCTCCATTTCCTCGTACCCGTGACACCCACATACTGTGGTCTAGTGACTGGGTTTTTTTCTCTGGGTGCAAAATAAGCACAGTTCTTAAAATATGAGATTCAAAAGTAGATGTCTGGTATAGCAGCGCACACTTGTAATCCCAGCTACTCATGAGATGGTGGCAGGAGAATCAAATTCAAGTCCAGCCAGGGTGACTCAGTGATTTAGTGAGACCCTGTCTCAAAAAAAAAATTTTTTTTTTAAGGGCTGGGATGTACCTCAGTGGTAGAGCACTTGCCTAGGACACATGAGGCCCCAGTACCTCAAAAAAGAAATTGATAATAATTAGACTAGGTGGGGGTAGTATATGTTGGACTCTAAGAGGCCCATTTCATATTAGAATACTGTTTTATTTTCCATTTCAGAGAAAAGAAGCCAAGACAGCACAGCGGGGACCATGAGAACTTGATGAATGTGGTAAGCGTGTGTGTGTGTGTGTGTGTGTGTGTGTGTGCGCGCGCGCTCGCGCTTAAAACATCAGCCGCTTCTCCAAAGTATCCACTTTTCTATGATCTGAGCAGCACTGAGGGACGGAACTGAGTGGAGGTGCACTCACTGCTAGGACTGCACCCCTTCCACAGGTTTGTGATATCTCCAGCCCAGGGCCTGTGCAGTGGGCCAGGACTGTGGAGATTCTAAAACAGATGCAGTTGTTCAGCCCCCAGAAAGACCCTTACGGGAGCCCAAACTGCAGGGATGTTGTATTTTGCCTCTGCCCAGCTCCAGTTAGCTGTCACAAACCTGGTGGTTTAAGTGACAACCACCGCCTCTCGGATCTGGAGGCCGGAAGCCCCCGCGCCGAGGGCTGGCAGGGTGAGTCTGCGCCGCCCTCCGCTGGCGTCTGGCGCTCTTCATGGAGAAGTCATTCACCTCTGCCTTCATCGTCACGTGTGATCTCCCTCTGCTTTTCACTTCATTCTCCTCTCTGTGCATCTCACAGCTCCAAGTTCCCCTTATAAAAGCCAGATGCACTGAGCTGGGGCCATCCTACCCTCATCCTAACCGGTGTCATTTGCAGTTACCTTGTTTCCAAATGAGGTCACATTTGAGGTACCGGAGGTTGGAACTCAAACAAGAACGTGTGGTTGGGGAGGGGTTCAGCCCTCACAGCTGTTTCTGAAGCTCATCAGAGCTTGGCACCCACAGCACCCCCATTCAGCCTGGCCCTACTACACTGTCCTCAGCCCTCAGCGTCCTATGGGCTCCTGGTGGGACCACCTGGCAAGGAACAGCCCAAGACATTCCTGGTCATCCGCATAAGTCGGCGCAGCAGCTGAGGGCAGTTCCACCCTCTTTGCAAGGCTGAGTTCAGAGTCCAGCCTGTGCTCTGCAATGGAATTAAACAGAAGCTGCCTTCTGTTCAGGACGTCACGCCTCAAGGCTAGGCCCAGTCTACTTGGGGGAAGTGGGCACGAAGGAAGTATGGACTCATCAATCTATACCACAAGATCTAGGGTCAGACTTGTAGCCTGTAGACATTCAGAGCAAATGCAGAGCACAGGCTACCTGACCCTGAGTTCTCAGGCTAGGAAGTTGTGAGGGTGCCCAGATTTCTCCTGGGGCCCCAGGGTCCTGCCTGTGTTCAGTGCTCACCTCACCGCACTACTCTCAGGGCCTCAGCAGACTCCTCTGAGACCCTTTTCTTACCACAGTCCCACCTCCATCCATGTCATCCACATTGTCCCCATTTCTCACGTGCCCCCACGACGGCTGCTGTGGAGGAACCCAAGGAGAAGTGAGAGGGGTGGGGAGACCACCTACACCCTCACTCCCTTATTGGCCAGGGCTTCGCAAGGGTGGCCGGACCCCAGCTGCAGCTGCAGGCAGGTGAGGAATGGGATTCTCCAGGCCTGGGGCCCAGGGAGTTAGAACCGACCTCCAGCTGCTTTGCATGTGCGCTCCCGTGAGAGAACCACTGGCCAGAACCTCTGGACCCCGCTGTTGGCCAAGGTCAGACAGAAGCCATGGGTGAGATAGAAAGAAATTAGCAAGTGAGTAAAAGGAACAAGTTCATTCAGTGTGGTGGAGCAGACCTGTCGTAGCAGCCATGCAAGAGGCTAGAGCAGGAGGATCTCAAGTTTGAGCCCAGCCAGTGAAACTTACCAAGACCCTGTCCCCTCATAGAATTTTGAAAAAGGTCTGGGGCTGTAGCTGCCTAGTTCAATCCCCAGCATTACTGAAGAAAAGAAAATAGGAAAGAAAAGGGAGGGAAGGAGGATGCTGGCTCTCTGCACTTTCTTCCTTACCTCCATCTCCTCCATCACACTGCACACCGTCTCGTCCCCTCACTACCACTGTGCATTCCTGTGAGGGAGAGAGCGGTGCACACACTGGCAGTGGTACCTGCACTCCCATGCATAACACGTGCCCACACCCTCGGAGCTCAGCTCACGGATCATGTACAGGTGCCGCCTCCTGTAGAAGCTGATCAGACCTGGAGTGCAGAACCCAGCTTGCAAAACTTCAGCTGCGACAGTTAATGCTGTCTGGGACCCATCTGAGTGCCCTCCTCCCACCCACCCCTCCCTGCTAGGACACCATTTCTGGGACACTGGCACCTGCATTTCCGGGGCCAGATGTGAGCAGCTCTGGCCTGGAGCAGTGACTCTCAGGCAGGAACCTGCGCCTCTTCACACAGTGCAGGCCGTGTGCTGTCTGTCATTGTTACTCAGTTCCCAAGCGGGAGTCAGAGGATATGTGAGCCCACAGAACCGAGGCTCCTGTGCTGTGTGTGTCAGTGCCCTCCGTGTGGGATCCTGGGACCTGAGGTCACCTCTACGGTCGCACAGGCCCTGAGAACAATGTTAGGGTGGGGGTTACAGTGATTCAGGCTGCTGCCTGGGACCAGTTGAATATTTAAAGAAATGTGCACAGACCACCTTATTTCTACCTACCCTTGGTGACAGCCAAGCCGGGCGCGTTGTCCCAGGTAATGTACATTCTACCGAGCAGCAAACTGATGGCGCCATCCTCCCCTGCCCACCCCCAGTTGTCCTGTGTTTGTTTCTGAGAATAAGAAAGGTTTGCAAAGCTAGTTTTTAGTACATGACTGTTTTGTGGACCTTAAAGTAGAGACTTGGCTGTTCTGAAATAATCTCCGAAACCACCAGCCCTGGCTGTGTTTGCCCAGGTCTCAGCCTGTGCCCATCAGGTGACAGAGAGTGATGCTCCGCCGGGTTTTCCACGCACAGCTGTAAGGAGACAGCACCCAGCTACGGGTTGCAGCTGCTCCCTGCTGGGTCCATTCTGACCAGTAGGGGAACTCTGGACCCTCCGTGCCTGAGCTCAGGGAACAGAGGCATCATAACCTCCCAGCACCCAGGGAGATCACCAGGTGGGAAGCTCTGCAAGGGGCCTGGAAGGTCCCAGGGAGATTGGAGCCACACTGTCCAGTAGAACCTTCCATGTCGTGCTGCCTGATGTGGTCCTCAACTGTTAAGCTCTTCAATGTAACTAGTTAACCAAGGAAATCAATTTAATTTTACTTTACCTGATTTATGTCTAAATAGTCAATGCTGGTTTTGCTTTTTCTGTTTTAAGTTTTAGAAAAAGCCATGCATGCTCTCCTGTACCACACAGCCTAGAGTCTTAGCCATGTGGGTGCGTTTGTGTTTTGCAGCCTTCTGACAAGGAGATGTTCAGCCATTCAGTGACCAGCCTGGCAACAGATGCTCTCATTAGCAGTGAACAGAATGGGGCACTCACCAATGGTGACAGTAAGTTCTACAAAAAATACCAGCTTCCCACCCAGCCCTCGTCACCTAGCAAAGTGCTAGGTTTCAAAAACTGTAGCTGAGAATCTAGGAAATGTGTTCTCATTCTGTTGGAGTGTGACTGTCAGCTTTAGCAATCTCCTTTGGATAACGCTTATCAAATATGTACTGATTGCTGGGCATGGTGGCATACGCCTGTAATTCCAGCCCTCGGGAGGCTGAGACAGGAGGATCACTGTAAGTTCCAGGGCAGTCTCAAGCACACAGTAAGACCTGTCTCAAAGAGCAAACAAAGAAATATCCACTGGCTGCCTTCTGTGTGCCAGGCCTCACTGTAAGATGTGTGTGAGGGGAGGGGATTTTAGCTCAGTGGTTCTGGAGCCTGCCTCACAAGCACAAGTGCCCAAGTTCAATCCCTGGTACCAAAAAAAAAAAAAAAAAAAAAAAAAAAAAAAAAAAGATATGCACACTCAAGCTGCCTCACCTAAGCCCTGTAAGATTACTTCTTAATCATAGTAAAACTATTTCTACCTTCTGAAATAGGCATTGTTACCATTCGAAGATGAGGAAACTGTACACAATGCTGCTATAACCAATGACCACAAACTGAGTACCATAAAACAACATGAATTTATTAAAATTCAGTTCGGAGAGGTGAATACTTTGTGAAGATCTTGTGGTCACTGAACCAAGGATCTGCCACTTGAACCAGGTTCTCATAGTCTGGGGTTGGACACGCAGAGCCACTTTGCATAGTGTCCACTTGTTTCCTGCCCTGTAGACAAAAGTATCAGCTCAGTTCGCTTCATACTTTACAGCCTACAGAGCACTTCCCCCTGGGGTAGAAGGTCATCCTGTTACCCCACTTGCTGATAAGGAAACTGAAGGGTGGTCAGGATTGCCCCCATAGTCCTCGGACACAAGTGCCCATTCTCTGTCCTCCCTGGAGCAGATGCCCAGCCCCAGAGGACAGAAGGCCACCCCAGAGGGGTTTGGATCACAGGGCGGTGGTGTTGGATTCAGAGGTGGAGGGCTCCACCATGATTTCCCCACACACCTCTTGGGGACACCATTTCTGATCCCTCCAGAGTGAAGATTAGGGTGAGAGCTTGTTCACCCTGGTGTAAACACCACAAGGACTCTGTTCAGATGTGTCTCTACTGCCTGGCAGGTAGCAGGTGCTCCAAAACCCTTCGGTAAAGGATGACCAACTGGCTTAACGTGGCGACATTTCTGTAGCAGTCCATAAATTTCACATTTGGATGTCCTAATTTGAAGAAGGAATAGTGGGGAGCAGGGGAAGACCTTTAAAGAGGCACAGGGTGTCCAGGCCCTCCCTTTGTGACACGGGCCTACAGGCCCATGTTTGCCCTACTGCTTCCATTATACCCGGCCAGCAAAAGGGACCTGTCGGGGGAGATAGCTACCAACTCTTCCCTCCCAACAGGGAGAGGCAGCAGGCAAGACAAGAGGCCACCGCGCACGTGCCCTTTCTCGGTGTCCAGTCTCCCACAGTCCGGACCCATGGGTTGTCACCTTGATCCTGTGGCACCATGGGACACTGCCCACACCAGCCTTACTGGGAGAAGCGATAAGTAAGGAAAGCAACAGTGTGTTCAAGTGTAGCCGAGATAATTTATGACATGTACCAGGAAACCCATAATGAATGGCTTCTTTTAAACTGAGATTGAAATGAGACTGTCCACCATCGTCATAGCAGCCATAATTTGCAGCCAGGCGTCACATAAAAAGCGAGCGTCTTGATTTAACCTAACATCACATAACCTGTTCGCTGATGAAGTGCAGTAGTTAACTGAAGGATTTGTCTCTTTCCCCTTTTAACACTTCCGCGCCTTCAGTCCTCTCAGAAGACAGCACCCTGACCTGCGTGCAGCACTATGAGGAAGTCCAGACCTCGGCATCGGACCTGCTGGACTCCCAGGACAGCACAGGGAAGCCCAAGTGTCACCAGAGCCGGGAGCTGCCCAGGATCCCCCCAGAGAGCGCTGCCGACGCGATGCTCACGGAGAGGAGTGCAGACAGCGAGCAGGGGCCGGCCACGGAGGGGCCGTACGAGGTGCTCAAGGACAGCTTGTCGCAGGAGAACATGGTAGAGGACTGCTTGTATGAAACCGTGAAGGAAATCAAGGAGGTGGCGACAGCCACACACCTGGACAGAGGCCACGGCGGCAAGGCCAAGTTGACTACCACCTTGAAGGAGCTTCCGGGGCCTCAAACGGAAGGGAGAGCGGACTTTGCTGAATACGCCTCTGTGGACAGAAACAAAAAGTGTCGCCAGAGCGTTAACGCAGACAGCGTTCTTGGAACTTCGTGTGATCCCGAAGAGGAGGCCCCGCCGCCTGTTCCTGTCAAGCTCCTGGATGAGAATGAAAACCTGCAGGAGAAGGACGCGAGCTCGGCGGAAGAGTGGACGGCAGAGGAGACCGGGGAGACCAACAAGGTGGGCTCCACTGCTGGGGTTTCGTGGCTTTTGTCCCGATGGGGAGTCCAGCTAGTCCTGGGGTTTTCACTTTCACATTGTCCTGGGAGGTAGATGCAAATGCTTACAGGTTGGTTCAATCATGAAAGCTGTTTTAGGGTAAGCTGTGTTTGGCTTTTTTCCCCTCCAAGTCATAAAATGGTGAAAACGCATGTTTAGAAAATATTTCTCTCTCAGCACCTTACTTGGATATTTTCCAAGACTTACAGCATGTCTAATTGGGGCCAAGTATTATTTTCCTTATTATGAAGACTAAGAATGAAATAGAGACAGCAGATTCTCAGCCACGCATTTTGCCTCTCTTGGTTGTTGCTGCTTCAGAGCAGCACAGCGATCTTGAACTTTTCGGGATCACAGAAGTCACAGCACAGCCACAAGCACAGGGGGACGTGCAGATGCTGAGGCTCTGTCTGAGGGTGCACGCTCTCCAGTAGAACAAATAGGAGATCTTATTTTGTGAGTTCCTAAGCAGTAACTTGTGGCTCTGAAGCATAGACTTTCCACAAAGCTGGAAAATGTATCAACAACCCACGGCCTTCCGTGTGTGTCCCATCTGATGTCTGAGCCACCTGAACTTTTCATCTCCAGGTGTCCCAGCCTCCCAAGGATTGAAAGCCCCGTCACCTCCAGGCAACTAATACCAAGTTTCTGTTCTCCACACACACACAGAAAAAATCGTGTTCTCTCCTACTCAGGTTTTGGTGGAAAAGACAAAGTAGAAAGCAAGCACTTGAAAGATCAAGAAGCAGTTCTCTGGATTCTACATTAAAAACTGAAAGTACACATCTGAAGGCCAGATTATCTTTTTACAGTGTAGTCTGAATGAGTGATCCATCATCTCCCATATAAACAATCCTAATTGAGTCTTTGAAATGTTGAATATTCATGAATTCAACAAAAATACTTTAATGAGCACGCACTATGAACCATAAGGCGTAGGTGCTGGGAATACAGCAATGAACAAACATAATTGAACAAAAATTTGTGCCCTTTTTATAGTTTAGCGGGGAGAGAGAGGCATAACGTTTAAAGTTCATAAGAATAAGTATAATAAAGAGGGCTGTGAAACGAGCTGGAGAGTGCAGTTTCGGATAGAGTAGTCAGGTCTGCCTAGCTGGAGGGGACATTGAGTCAGAGGTAACGGAGGTGAGTGAGTCATACAAGTGTTCTCTGGGGTACGTGTGCTGCTTGGGAAAGAGCAAATGAAGTAGAGGGGACCGCAGGTAAGAAGCCCTTGGGGACAGTGGCAACCCCAATGCATGTCTGGGAGTAGACTGTGAAGCAGGAGACCAAAGGATGGCCAGTCTAATTGCCAGATGAAAGATGGAGACTTGGACCTGTGCAGGGGCTGCACAGTGATGAGAGGAGTAAGCTCGACTGGCGAGGTTTGCTGATGGATCATATGATACATGGTAGTGAGAGAAGGAAAAGACCCATATGGGTCCAAGGTTTGTCCTGCGCTGCACTGCTGCCAGCTGGAATGGCCATGCACTGAGATGGAGAAGGCCCTGGGCAAGGCAGGTCTGCAGGAGGCTGGGCATGCAGCGTGGGGACGTCATCTGAGACAGCCTGGGCCTCGAGCAGACACAACACATAGTAGCAAGGCTGATCATGGGGCTAGGAGGAGAGGCCAAGACTGACTTTGTACACTTGAGATGTGTCCACAGAAACGTGGTTTATAAAGCCGTGGCATTGGATGAGGTCCCTGATGGGTGAGAGTAAACAGGCTGGAAGGCTTCCGAGAACAGTGAACGGGAAACAGAAGCCACACAAGGAGCCGAAGTAGGAAAGAAAAGCAGGAAGGTGCAGAGTGAAGAAAGTGTCTGGGGGAAAGAAGTGACCGTGGTGACACATACAGCAGATGAGACAGGAGGAGGAGCCTCATCAGCAACCATGGGGACCATGACAGGAGCAGCTTCCTAGATTGACAAAGGCAGATGCTTGACTCATTGGGTGTGGAAAGAGAATAGGAAGAGAAAAATCATCTGAGTGATTATTTGGATAACTCTCTTTTTCTTTGTATCGGGATCGAACTCAGGTTGGATAACTCTGTAAGGGACGTTTCTGTAGGAAGGAAGGCAGTAGATGGAGCTAGAAGCAGCGTTGGGTTTGTGACTTGTTTTGTCTTGTTTGGGTGTGGACAGAAATGACCCTGAGGAGGAGGAGAGCTGAGAGTGTAGACAAGTGGTAGAATTATTGGAATGCAGTGTGAGGGACCAGGGCCCGGGGTATAGGAGGGGACTGCCTAGAGAGGAGCCTGGCAAACTCGTCTGTGGGGAAAGGAATGGGTGCAGGGGATTTCTTCTGCTTCCCTCTGTTTTCTCAATGAATTGGGAAGCAAGATCAGCTCACCGTGAGGCTGTGGGAGGAGGTGTTCAAGGTGTGGAGAGAGAGGGGCAGTGGAGAGCCAGGACAGCAGAGATAGCATGCACTCACTAGGGAATAGCACATGATCTGGGGCAGCTTCGGGGACTGGCTCAGCCAAGGGTCAAGTCCCCTGTGACCAGCCAGGGAGCCGAGTCGCATGCGAATATGATGGGCATCTCTGAAGTTTATGATTGGTGAAGCGGGAAGAAAGGACATTGAGGAGGAGGGGCGTAGAGGAAAGATGGCTGGATTGCAAGTGCTGAAGGATTGCTGGGATTGGGTCATGAGAAGAAACTGATCGGCGAGTGTAGGTCTGAGAGGAGCCGCTAGGAGCTGGGATGTGGGTCAAGGAGAGCAAAGGTCTGGGTGCGGTTACAATAGAAAGTGGGGTGCTGTCAGGTAGAGCCCCAAGATCATGTGCAGAGAGAAGGTCAAGGAACTGAAAGGGAATTTTAAGGGAGAGATACTTGTTGGAGTCACCATGAATTAGGACAGGAAATACGTAACAGACAATTAGCAAACCAGGAGCCAATATCATGGAGAAATGAGACAGGGAGCAAACTACAAATTGTGAGTTGATTTCTTTATTAACTTCAAAAAGTCACCAAAAATATCCAATAGAAATATAAACTATAGGAATGTGCAATTCTACAAACTTTAGAAATGAACAATTCTGGCATTTGATAAAGAAAGACCTGCCTGTTAGCAACTCTTCACTGATGATCAACCCTTCAACGACAAGCAGTCTCCATAGCTATTTTGTGCTTATTTGTACCAGACTTAAATATTAAATTAGAAGAAATTTAAGTCTGTGTAACAAGAATTTAAGAAAGTAAGTCTATGTAACACTGCGAGGTATCCAAGAACATCAGACACTAGCAGATTGTACAGGTGTTTTTTTCTCAGGTGCTTTGCATAATTACTTTGTGTTCCATAGAAATAATTTGAAAACATTTGTAGAGACAGATATGTGAAGACATATGCCCCAAAAAGGTTGGATTATTGGATTCAAACTACTTTCCTTTGGCTTGTGTTTATTCTGACAGAGATTTAGCTCATTGTCATATAAGTCTCGGGAAGAAGACCCAACTCTCACAGAAGAAGAGGTAAGTTTTTTTTTCTTTCTAAGTAACCAGAAAGCTCCTATCGTAAAGACTAGAACTTCTCCCCTCCTATAAAGGCACTGTGATGTTTCTCTGTGTCTGAAAGAGCTTGAGTACTCCGTTATGCCTCTGCTGCAAAGTAAGAATTTGGGATATTGACTTTATATTTAGGGAGAGTGACCTGTAGTAGGTAGTAAACCAAGAAAGGTGACACAATGAACAAGTCAGCTAAGAAGAAACTGAGTAGGAAAGAAGGTTCCAATAAATATAGAAAGGAGAAGGGAGAAAATAAGAATGAGTGAGAGAAATTTCAGTATGGGAGTTTGAGTCAACAACTTAGGAAGACCATATTTAGAAGGATCTTAATAGTAGACTGGAAAATTCAAGAAATTGGGATAGGTGGAGGTAGAGAATTTAATCCCCCCTGGGACACAGAGGGTAAAGGTGTCAGTGTGGGATTTTGGGTGCAGAGAGCAAGTAACTTTAAGAAGTACAATTCCCGGCCAGAGTTAAATCCAACAGAGCCTCCTACAAGAGTAGATTATGTATTCCCAAGTACCAGGGCAAAAAATTCACTAGTAAGACGTTTAATGAAGCCTTGACATCATAAAAGCTAGCATATATACGCTACATGAGGAGCTAGGCTGAGACAGAGAGCTAAACTCCACAGTTCAGCTGCCTCATTCCTATCTGGAACTCTGCAGAAGAAACTATGCAAGACTAATACACATATTCGGGTCCCTCACCTCCAATAGAGGACATGAACATTAGAATATGAAGAGGATGCCCAGGTAAAAAGTTCAAGGACAGAAGTGCTTTCTGTAGGTGATATTGCCTGACCAATTTTATCTTCCATCTTTCCTTCCCCTGGAATGGACCTGCCATTGATCTACCTGGTCACACAAGCCAAAGCCCTGGGGATCACCCTTGATAGCTCCTTTCCCTTAGGGCCACACATGTAGCCAACTGCTAAGTGCCTTTAGGTGCACCTCCAAACTGTCTCACACACCCCATCTCTGGGGCCACCCACCCCTTGACACACCCACAGCCCACTCCTGTGGTTCCCTTGACAGCTCCTTTACCCTCTCCAGTCTGTTGTCGACAGCCAGAGTGACTCCATTTAAGATAAAAAAGCAAAGTATAAAAGAAATCTGAAAAGTAATCCTTCATAATGAATACATTTTATGTAAAAATGTTAAAGTGCTTTGCTGCTTATCTGTGGTTTATTAAAAACAGCAACTAGTTGTGCTGAGGAATTTTAATGTAAAGAACTCTGATTCACAAACATTCATTTTAGGGGAAAAATACAGAAATCATTTATTTTTATATTTCTATCATGTTAGACAAGCCCAGACTAAAACCAAGGTCTGTGCTGTGCCAATTTAAAAGAATGGTGAGGAAAAAAACTGATTTTAAAAAGGATGAGAAAGGGCCAGAGATGTAACTCAGTGGTACCGCGCCTGCCTCACAAGTGCAAGGTTCTGAGTGTGACCCCCCCCAACTCCATACGAGAAAAAAATGTAAATAAATATACATGATGAAAAATGGGGAAAAAGAAAAGAATAATTTTATGAGAATAGAATAAGAATTCACCAAATGAGTAATAAAGATGAACGATTTGAAAGAGAACAGTTAACTAGCCAAGGGGGCTTGAAGGGAAACCTATATCCAAACTAGAAATAATATTCTAAAGGAATGTTAGAAGAAGACTCGAGAAGCTATTATGAAAATTAAAATTCCAAGGACATCAGCTGCACATGAGGTTCACTCCCGAAGTCAGTATGAAGGCGTGAGTTGATGAAAGAGCTGTAATGTGTAAAAGTATGAAAGCCTAAAGACCTAAGAATTCTCCCAAAGAGGAGTAGGGGCGAGGGAGGGGGAGGAGACGGTGAATGGCAGGACCTGCAGGGACCATGGGAAAGAAAGCAGACATGGTTACCTTTAGGTGTGTCCGGCCCCCTCGGCGCTACCCTTGCAGGTGTGGAATGAACTGCTGTGCTCATTCCCTTTGCTCCTGTCTCTGTGGTTTGCCCCTTTAGCATCTGTCCACATATTTTGCTTGGACCACTTTTTAGATAAGAAATTTCATATGTGTTTACTTTACTGTGAAAATCAGTGGATTTTCTTTTATCCTTCCTAAATTCAAAGAAATTATAATTCCTATTTTGAGAGCAGTTTTTCCATGAAGTGTTCTAAGATGAGAATGCTGTGCTGTTCATTAGAACAGTCAGATCGATGTGCCAAGAGTTTTCCAAAGATGATTTCTCTGTCAGGGCCTAGCAAAACCACCGAGCTACCAGCCGGTGGGGAAGAGTTTTCATGCAAATGACCAGTTAGCATGCAGCAGGCCGGTCTTCAGCAGCTTCCCCAGCCAGCTGGGATGCTCACCCACAGTATGTGAGCTGTGGAAAAGCAGGAAAATGTCCCTCAGCACGCGGGAAGCCAAGCATCTGTCAGGAAGTGTGTTTATTTATTTCCTGGGTATTAGAATAATTAATCACTGTGGGAAAAATAAACACAGGTAAAGAACGATACGTTTTACTTCCAGACATGATTTATAGCAATGAAAAATACTCCACAAATACCTCTTAATCAGTACATTTAATCTGTGTTACTGAGAAATAAAATCTCTCTTGATATTAGAGGTTTAAGGATATATTAACAACAACCACAAAGGTGTGTTTAGAAAATGTCCTGCTCTTACCATGGGAAAAAGTGTCCCATGAGTGCTTCCAAATGTCATTTCCGACTTGGCTGCTTGCAGATAAGAAGGAATTTTCCACAGAAGGAAACTAAGCCTGGTCTGTAAATGACTTTTTAACAAGTAATATACGTCCAACCCAGAAGACTTGATGGGTATGCGCGTGCACTGCCCCCCAGAAGCCAGCAGCCACATCAGACCTCTCTTAATGTTCGAAGCATGGGACAGTCTAAGTTGGGGGTCTCACAATCCAGGGGGCATCAGATTGAGGGGTCCCACCCAGAGTCTCTGAGCCAGAGGCTCAGGAGTGAGGCCCAAGCTTTTGTCCTCCTGGTAAATTCCAGCATCCTGCTACTGCTGTTGGAAAAGCACATTTGGAGAATCACAGGTCCAATAGGTGTTTTCTGTCCTTTTGGTAAAGCAGTGGAGGCTCTTCAGGTGAAACCTCATTCTGATAGAAAAATCAAAGCATAGTATGTGGCCAGGTCCCAGGACTGCCTGAATTCACCTTTCTCCTGCTGTCTTCGGTCCCTTCAGCAGACTGTAGAACTCAGTTTACACAGAATTAAGCAAATGTGATTGATCTTCTTACAATCTGAAGGTAATGTCTATCATTAATCTCTAGGAACATACTCCAGAATTAGTGTAGATAATGAAGACACACACACACACACACACACACACACACACACACACACACACAATGCCCATAAGTGCTAAGTATGCAGCTTGTCACCAAAAGAGGAAGGAAGAAGTCACAGCTTGAAGCTTATTTATTCAATTCTCCCTTTGTTTTCTAGATCTCAGCCATGTACTCCTCAGTGAATAAAACTGGGCAGGCAGTGCATAAATCAGAACAGTCGCATAAAGCACCAGAGACCACCTACACCTCCATTCCAGGGGCTCCTCAGAGGTCGCCCTCTTCCTGTAATGACCTCTACGCTACGGTGAAAGACTTTGAGAAAACTGTAAATAGTGTCAGTGCACTTCCACCAGCAGGGAGACCCAGCGAGGAGCCGGAGCCAGACTATGAAGCAATCCAGACTCTAAACAGGGAGGAAGAAAATACCCCCCTGAAGACCAATGGCCACCATGGCCTTGTCCCTAAGGAGAATGACTACGAGAGCATTGGAGACTTACAGCAATGCAGGGATATCACCAGGCTCTAGCAAAGTGGAAGACTTCTCCAGAGAGCCTGAGTTAGCAGTGGGGGACAGTGTTTCTGTGGAAGATGAGAGACATCGACCCATATTTTGTATGCTGCTTTAGTAAACTGAAGACAATTGCATATGCCCTGACTGTTTTCCCAGGTTCTGTTCAGGGAGGTACAGACCTGGTTGCCCCTGCGTGTGCACCTGCCTGCCTGGGGATAGGCACACCCCAGCACATGCACAAACTCCCTCTTGCACCATCACCCTCCTCAGAAGATCCCAGCTTCCAGGGGTTCATCCCACAGGCGAGGAAACGAAGCTGTAAGGAAGAGTCGCATCCACTTGCCTGAAATACTGCCATTCTGAAGAGTCAGGTTTTTCTTCTCTCTTCTCTTCTGTACTAACTCTAAAATATATGGCATTACCCCCCTTGAGATCTTCTGATCTGTGTGGTGCATTCCAAGGAAATCCTCCCATAGGGCTTGGCACTGGCCTTCAACACAGACATGTTTGGAAGATGAAAGTCTGTGGTTGCTGGTCCCCATCCAGCTCCCCATCCTCATCCCAGAGCTACCATAGCAGCCCTGGGGAATCCAGACTCTGCAGGACAATAGATTTGGGACAGGATGTCCCTTGCGTCTCTTAGGTCCTCATTCCTTTTTATGTTGGCACTGCAAATCAGCAGCCTTTCCCCAAGCATTTGCAATCAGTTTTAAATGCTTGGTTTTATTTTTCTACTCAAAATCTTTTCTTCCACAATGTTGAGAAACTCATCAGAGCCTTTCTCAGTATTTTCAACAAATATCATGGTACTTCTGTACTTGTTTAAGCCCAGAACTCATGTCCTTCAAAACGGAGAGCCTTAATCTTTATGTTGGGACACAGACCACATGTGTGGACGGCAGCCGTGGCTTCCTTCCCCAAGGGCGGTATATGCACTTCCGGGGATCTCTGCCGGCACCCCAACAGTGTGGACTTTCGTAAGTTATCTGCTACCCTAAGGTAATCTATCTAAGATTAAAATGTAAACATTTATTTTTATTATATAAATTTATAAGATGTTTTATGTTTAACACCTAATTTCTAGAAAGTGCCAGGAAATGTATATTAACTATTTTGATTTTATGTACAATGATTTATACTCTTATTTGAAAAGACATCGTAAAGCACATAAGCTAGGTAATTACAAGTATTCTTTTTTTCAAATGAGTATTTGAAATGTTGAAGATTTGTTAAAGACCCAACTTTGTAAAGGTACTTGGAGCCTCTACTCCAAATCACCTAAACCACTGGAGAAATAAATGCAGTGGACATAAATAATCATTTTCCATGGTGGGGTGAGCAATATTGAAATATCTGAAATGGTAAAAATGGAAAAATATGGGTAATGAATTATGAACCTCCTAAAAGTATCATACTTTCATTAAAGTTTAATGACCTTTTTCCATAAAATGAAATTCTACAGTTCAGTTCTTACTAAATGCAAAATGCCTCTTAGAATTTTTTTCTTCATTTTACAAAAATCAGTGGCTGAAATAGTTCAGATTAAGTACTCAGCCTGGTTTGAATTTAATCATCATTTTAGATCTTGTAAGGCCACCACTGGAAAATTGTTCACTTTTCAGTTTAAAAGAAGCCCGGTTCAAGTACCATCATGAAGTGTGAACTACAAAAAGGGAGCATTTCCTACGATGACAAAGAAGTAAGGCCGTTATCCTATACCTCTGTGACGCCTGTGACTATAAAGTTTAATCATCCTGCTGTTTTCCCTCCTTCTGGCAAAGAATGAGATGAAAATTGTAGAGACCACCTCGCTGGCATGTATTTCTGACCTGTATTCATGGACTGGCTTTGTGACTGCTCTGTAGCACCCGTCTGAGATTGTTAAGAGAACGCTGTCGGAGTGCACTGGTTGTCACTATCTCTCAGTCAGCCTAGTCTCTCCCAGGAAGAAAGACATCACATGCATAAGCACAATCACTGTTGATTACAAAGTATTGGCAGAACACCTTTGAATCCCTTGAGCGAACTCTATCAGGGAAATGCAAGCACTTCCTCTCTGAAATCCGACATTTCATAAGTACTGCTTTGCCTGCTGACTTTCACCACTTCGAATTAATAAGTTTGACCCAACAACCTCTCAGGTCACGTGGTTCTCTTGGTACACAGTGACAGCCATATGACACTACCCACCTGCAGTGTGCAGGCTCAGTATTTACAGCTCAGAAGTTTTATTGCATTTCCCAGTGTCTTCCTTATCACCAGAGAAGCGGGTATGATCTCTAAAGTGTAAAATCCTTTCTTTGAAGTTCATTATAAATAATCGTGGAATCTTCACATGTCAAGTTTTCAAATATAGGTTATGCAATTTAGTCATAAAATATGCACTGAAATATCTCTCAATTTGAGAGCCAGTGTTAAAGAGTAAGTTGTGATACAAAATATTTTAAAAGGAACCCAAAGGCCTTCCAGCAACAATTTTGAAAGAATAAATGACAGAAAAGTCCATAAGGCCTGGAAAGGGGAGGAACAAACGTTAGGAAGACAGCTCTGCTCTTCAGAGCACTGGGTACTTTTTTGAAGCATATTTTTGAAGTATCATTACTGTTTTTCCTGTATTGTACAGTTTTTCATAAATTTCATCTCTTTCACTTTGTTCAAAATCTGTGCTTGAATCTGTGAGTGGGACAGAAGCCTGTAGATTCTTTTTCAAAAAAGTTTCATGTTGAGCTAAATGCTGCAGAGTTTAAATGTATGAAAGGTAGATGCCAAGAACAGAATTCATTGTATATTTAAAATTCACCATTGATATCCATAGTATGCATCCAATTATAATCATTTAGGTTATGTGAACTTATATAAAAAGGTAAAAATAAATTTTAGGAAGGTTTTTGTTCTATAAGTCAGAATTATAGATCTACCTTGGTTAGGCATAGTGGCATCTTTTTGATCAGGTATACTGAAAGTATAGAAGTGTTTCATGCTGATTTTAATATTTCCCAACTATAGGCAGTGGGGAGGTATAACTGTTTTATATAAAATATTTGAGAAATCCTAGAAGAAAGTCGTTTTTGGAAATATGTTGGCTACATACTTTTTTTCTTGTTTGGATCTAAATTATATTGTTAAGTCTGTTAAAATACTATACCAACATTCTGTGGGGGGGTGTTAATTGCTGATTATCTGCCCTCAGAAAGCTCAGAGTTAATTGTAATTGAGAGTTAAATTAGCAATAGGTAGTCAACACGGAGAACTAAAATTGAATCTCAGTATGTCTCTCTACTTCTCTTGATTATTCATTTTTATAATTAGAGCATTTACCTACCTTAACCAGTAATAAATTATGTATATATAATTGGTGCTGGCACAGTTCTGGTGCAGTCAATTAATTAGAATATGTCTATTGTGTACTTGGAATATTTATCCTATTAGTGTGATGAATTTTGTCATAAGTGTAGAATTAGAAGAAACAGTTTTTCATAGTTTTTATTTGGTAATTAGAGGAAAATCTTCTTGAGTCACCCCCATTTAATTTTTCTAACGAGCACATTCCAGTTTTAAATTGTGTCCAACATTCTCTTGGCTGAAAACCAGCGCATTTTAAGATAGTTTTGTTACACATGTAACTCACTATGTATTCAACCTGAGAGGAGGAAGTATAAATAAGTGTACTTCTCAAATGTTTAAGAAAACATTTGGCCAAAAGCAACAGGAAAGGAAACCTGAGCCAGAGTGGACCCTGGGCAATATGGCCCCTGCCTGCCAGAGAGCAGGAGCAGAATTGGTACCGTGTGGCAGCAGTCTCTTTAAAACTCCCAGGTTTTACAGCAGCATCAGTAGTCAGTGATGCAATCTAATGTGACAAAAGCCGCCCTGAGATGATACCCTGGCCAAGATTACACAGCATCCCTCCAAGACCGAACTAGGATTTTATAAATGAGTAAATGATATCCCTTCGATGCTCCATGTAATCACATGGTGCCATTCTTCTCCAAGTGTTGATTTCTGGTCCCCACCACCTTAGCTTTGGCTGCTGGAAGCACAGTAGGTACTGATGTTTACTTCCTAGGAATCTTCACAGGCTTATTGTACTGCGTAATGGGGGAAAGTGAAAGTGTAATGTTTGGTGTTAATAAGTGACTGGTGTGAAAATAGGAACGTGTTTGTGATATCAAATACGGCTTTATTTGCGTAAAATCTAAATTTCTTTTCATGTAGTAGTACTTTCTCGCTCTATTCTGTATCTTTTCTTAATACATCATTCTTAATATGGGCATTAAACGAGTTGAACCCATTTAGATTTTAAAAGTTTGACTTAAACAGATCAGTCCAGAAACCATGATAAATAAGAATCTTTATCTGAAATTACTAAATTAACTTTTAACATAATGGTGCAGAAGAGAACAAACATTTGTGTACTTTTTAAACTCTACTGTTCATTTTTAAGTGTGTTTACAACTAGATTCTAATGTTTGTAAGTACCTCATTGTTTTCAGATTCTTTTTAAGTGAGAAACAGTTCAAATTCTTCTTAATGTCAGATGAAGTGAGAAATACGATTCTGTTAGAAAAGACATTTTTAAAGCATTCAATTTGGTATTCATTTATCATAATGCAGAAAGTTTTTTCTTTGCTTACAGCTTATATATTATGTTTTTCAAAAATGTATTGTGCTCTTGTTTCCTGTCACCTTGTATGATAGATTATAAAGGTTGGTGATTGTTGTTCCCCAGACTTCTATGTGTTAAACTGGCAAGAGTAAACTGTTTTTATGTCATTACCTTTTAAATAATTTTATTATATTAACACACCACATGTTTTCTGGGTAACTTTAAAAGAGGCAAACAAACAAAAGTCTGTGAGAAATAAGAGTTAATATTTAGTTACTTATGTGTTTTTTCCTCATAAAAATGGCTATCCCAAAATTAACATGTCATCTCTTAGGGGTCACAATGAAAGTACTCCCACTTACTCAAAAACAGTGAAAAAAAATGACACTTACCAGCAGTTTTATTCATTGTCTCAGAAGAGCTTCATACATAATCAGATTGTCCAGTTTGCAAGAATGGAAAGTTGTTTTCAATAGCAGGAATTTTAAACCTCAGTTTCATAAGTCCAGAACTGCCTCATGTTAGATTCAACATCTTATCGTTTCCCTCTCTAGTCTTTTTAAAGGAGAAGTCTGAAGGATGGGGACATAAAGTCACTATTTCTTCCTGCCTTCTGTTGGCTCCTTCTGTGTAGGTTCTGTCACTGTCCCTTTGTACAGCACCGGTTTCCATCCATCCGCTCAGTGTCATATCTTTCTGAATTCTGGCCACAATTCCCCAATCTTACAGACCCTGCCTGAGAGCAGAGAGCTTCTCCATCATGGCTGGATGACCAGTCAAGAGCCCAAGTCAAATCTTCCTGCTTCACAGGCTACCAAGATGAGGCCCCAGATCTGCCTAGGGAAGCAAATGCTGGTGTTGTCATGAGTTTTGCCAGACCATATACATTCCTACCACCTCTTTCATGAGCCTGGTTGACACAAGGGGACCATGGAAAACACTTTTTTTTTTAAATGCCATAGCAGAATCAAACCACAAGTACAGCACCGTGCTCTCACCAACTGACAAGCTCACTGTCCCCTGCAATGTTTTGAGACTGTCCTGTGTCTCCTCAAGTCCTGGGAAAGGAACAGCCTCAATGACCACCGTATAGAAGAAAGACCCTTGCATCAGCTGCAGAGCAGTTACAAGTAAAGGAAGAGACAGCTGATTTTGTTAAGGGGAAAAAAATTCTTCTGATGACAATTCATCATTTTTAAAGGAAACTTGAACCTAAAATGTCTTAGCCACCCAAATGTTGTACTCCTTCACTTGGGGAATGACAATTATAAGTTGTGTTAGTTTTTACCACTTTGCTCTACTCTCACAGGTCTAAGAAAACAGAACATTCAAAAAGGGAGAACATTCTAAAGGAGAGCTACCAGATACTGAGAGTCTGGTTTTTGGAGTGAGAAACCATGTGCCCTTTACCTACCGCTGAAGGGAAGGAGTGAGGCAGAAGCTGAGGTTCTCATTGTCGATACACTGAGGCTGAGTGCATATTTTTTATTTTTGACACTTCACTGTAAGTCACTATAGTTTTTTGTTTGTTTGTTTTGCTTTGTTTTTTGTTCCAGGGACCAAACTCAGAACCTTGAGCTTGCGAGGCAGGCGGTGAAACCACTGAGCTAAATCCCTGGTCTATAGTTCATTTCTTAATGGCTATTCTGGATTATAATTTTTTTAAATTAACAGAATAGATATCTGTTTATGCTCATCCTACATGTTGTAAAGCCCACACAGTTAGTATACCATTGGACTAGGACACAGTTAGGTCTACGAGAGAGACCGGTCTTGGAGCTTGTCTGAGGTTCACAATTCTTGTCCTGATGTCATTCTTTGGTTTTATTTAGTTTGTTTTTTTAGCTCAACACAGTGGAAACCATGAGATTAGAAAAATTTTCTTTCCCTTTAAGCTTAGAGGTGACTCTTTTTAACCTTTAGCTTCTGCATTTAGTGAAAATTTTTTGAATGACAGCAGCAACCTTCCCCAGGTAAAGCCACATTTCACCTGTAAAGGATTTTGAACATTCCTTTGACAAATGTCCATGTATTTTCTAGGTAAAACCAGTAAATGAACCTCACATGATGTTCACTACCCATCCTTAAGCTGGCTGGTTGGCTGGCTGGCTTTTTAAAATTTTATTTTTGGAATACAGGCATCTCATATTTTTGCTGAAGCCACACTACCCTGATTCCTATTGCTTCTGCTCAACAGCCTGCCCATGTCCCCGGAGGTGGCAGTGCCTCCAGCACAGCCTGTCTTGTGGGCAGAAGTCATGTGAAAAATGCCAGGAAAAATGGGTTTTAGGTTTAAGTTCACAGTCATTTGGAAACATTCTACACCCTTAGATTTTGACACTTTTTAAAAACTTTTTAGTACTGACTACCCATTTTACTGGGCAAGGGACTGAAAGCAAAATTTGAGCTAAGTGATGTGGGTGACTCCCTGCCCTATGTTTGTTTGTCTCCCCGGAAAATAGATTAGCCCACCTCTGCTGCTCAGTCATAAGTACTACTTACTATTTCTAGAAGCAAACAGTGAATGTGTATAAATGAGAAAATTTATCTCAAAGATCTAACTTTTGGTTTAGATATTTTCTTCTTTTTAAACTCAGGAATAAACCTGGTTTGTGGGTAGCATAATATGACTGTTAAAACTGTAATTTCTTTGTAGGTGACTAGAGGGTCCTTTTAAATATACTTTTTCTAAAGGCTTCTAACTTGGTTTCAAGTAGGAAGAGAAACCCTTTGAATTAAGAAAAGCAAAACAAAACAACTTCCACAAGTTCCTTCTGGGAGAGTGTAGCATCACTCTACCATCTTTCCCAGGGTGTTTATTTATTGCCTGTTGTATCTCAGCTATTTTTATGGGTGAAAAACAATTCACATTTTTTATTTCTTGGGAAAGTGAATTGAGGTGTTGAATTAAATTCTCAAATGGGACAATTTAGTCAAAAGAAAAGCATTGGTTTTGGAGACCAGAGCACAGGGATGTGGTTCCTGTTCCGACATTGACTTTACTGTGTGACCCCAAGCAAATGATTTAACTTCTCTGTGCCTCAGTTTCTCCATATATAAATGTGGGGATGATACCAACCATTGCCTACCTCATAGGGACACTTGGGGAACAAATGAGATAATACGGATAAGTATGAATGCTTTCACCTCAAGAAAGGTGCTATATAAATTAAAGTTGTATTATTTCAATGATCCAATTATTATGTTTAGGGTTTAGATAATAGCAATATTGTTAGTTATGTTAAGAATATCTTTCAAGCCGGGCATGGTGGCACATGCCTGTAATCCCAGCACTTGGGAGGCTAAGGCAGGAGGATCACTGTGAGTTCAAGACCAGCCTGGGTTACATAGTGAGTTCAGGTCCATCTCAACTACATAGTGAGACCCTGTCTCATAAAAATACCTTTCAGTTTAAAGCATATTTCCAGTTCTCTTCTGTGGCCACATCTTGATCATCTAGTAATGGTACCTAAGGAACTGAAATGAGTATTTGTTTTCTGTGTTTCTGCTGGTAGCATTTCAATTATGAATATTCAGAAAAGCCTGTAGTTTAACTTGTAATATCTTATAGTTTACATGTAATGAACCTTATTCATGCTGTATATAAAAGTATAATTATAGGTAAAGTATAATTACAAGTAAATAGCAGGTACATTGTAATTAAAGGCACTTTTCACATTGTCTTTGTTCTTTTTTAATTGTAATAAAGGTTGGTTTTATATAAAATCTTGTTAAAATTCGTTTGGTATTTGGAAAGGTCAAGAATGGCTAATTTGTATATTCCTAGGACACAGCCAGGCTTTGGGATTCTAGCAGTATAATAACCAGAAGATTATGTGTGGTGATCAGACCAAAAAGAGTACTGGTTAGGATCAAAAATCCTGCAGAAAAGGACCTTGATTTGAATCCTAGCTCCATGGTGACCTCGAGAACACCTTTGGACTTTTCAGTGTCCACTTAGACTTAGCAAATGAAGGATAATAGCATAGAACTTATTAATATGAATTATATTAGGGACTAAATGAGGTACTGTGCATGGACCATAGCAAATGCTCAATGCTCTGCAAATGCTAACAGACTTCAGATGTCTAAGAAATCAGCGGTGACATCAACCCATACTTGCCAGGCAGGCACTGCTATGAAGATTTGCAGTCCAAGAGTAAGTAATACCCCAGACCACAAGGAAAACCCATCTGCTTGTTTTCTGAAGAAAGTCTGAGACCAAATGGCTTTACACAGCCTACCCTAGCCTTGTGGTGAAGATTACCTTGGGGCCAAAAGGTGAAACAGTGAGGGCTTTCTTTGGTGGCTCCTGTTTCCTTTTCATCTGTGCCTCTGAACTCAAGATACCCAAACCCACAGATTCCCTCATATAAGGCCCGTCGCCAACCCGGCCTCCCTTTCTGAGCTCTTCCTTGGTCTCTCCTTCTGACTGATGCCATATGTACGTTGTTACCCATTTCTCCAGGGACTGATCTGGGTATTCTAACCAGCTGACTTTCTGTGCAGAAGATTACCACCCCCTCCACTCCTAGGACTGTTTACAGTGGAAGCAGCTTGCTGTCTATTGCTGTCTTGAGCCAAACTCACTCTTCATCCTCCTGGTGGACATTACAAGCCCAAGGAAGGCTGCTCGGGGTCCCCGAGGAAGGAGGAGGGAGCCAAGGCTCCCTGCAGACTTCATAGCACATCAGCAAGAGCCCTCAGAGCCATGCGCTCTGCTCCCGTGTCCAAGGGTGCTGCTTGCTCTAGGGCTTTGTTTTCCTGTACAAGATATAAACCACTAAGAGCAACCTGGAGGTAGATGTGGGGAAGACTCTGGCCATGTTGGTTTCAACCCCCAGATTCATTTCTTAGCACATGGAGAGAACTTCCTCTTCTTACCCCGAACCGCCCAGTACAACACCATTCTATGTGTGAAAACTTGGAGCTAAGAAAAACTTGTTCTGAGTCTTTGGATCATGGAATCAGGCTTTCCACCTGGACTACATGGAGAAATTGAAGCCTGGCAATTTGGTAGGTTTTCTGTCACCTGGGGAATGGAACAGTGTGCAATTTTGTCAGAGTTGCACACTGCCAATTCCAGCACCCAGTAGACATTTAGCAATTGTTCGCTAAGCGAATGAGAATTCTGATGCTCTAATTAAGGTGAATCATAGTCCATCCATTTTCTCATTGTTTAAAAAAACTGTTCTACGCTTCTACCTCTGTGAATATAATCTTTACTATGATTCTATTTATTGAAAAAATATTCCGAATATCACTGTACCCTTAAGGTCATATGCTAAGTACTTGTTCTCATCCTAGATGATTCTTAAAGCAAAATCTTAAGGCTGGACCTTGGGCGCTCCAACACCAACTGTCTATCAGGCATCACATCTGTTTTCAAATTGTCTCCATCTGGATTTCCTGATGTCTCCCCAAAATGCAATCATTCTGGAGTAGAGTCATCTTTCCCAGCTGTCCCATTTGCCCTTTGGTGTTAGATTTGAAGTGTCCCTGCACACAGCAAGCACTAAATAAATGTTTGGTCTGGCTTAAATTTTCATGCCATTGCTCACAGTCTCACGAGTCTGCCTTGACCTAATGTTTATCAAGTCTTAGGATTTTATTCTTCAGTTTTTCTGCTTCCAAAAGCTTCTGTGACTGAATTTCTGAAGAGATGGCAGGGTAACAAGGTGGGGATGTCCTCCAAGAGAGACCAGCCCAAAAAGTGGCGGGGGAGGAAGAGAGGCATCTGACTCAGAGATAAACAGACTCACCACCTGGCAGAGCGGTCTTCTGAAACAGACAAGTGATTCAAAGCAAACAGCTTTCAATGTTCAGACCCAAAAGGAAAAAAAAATACATAAAGCATTGCAACATCAAAGTAGAAAAACAAGTTAACAGGAAAACAAAAGAAACCGCAGGAAAACCATTTATTGATTCACTCTATAAATATTTACTAAGCACTT